GTAAGGATTGTGAGGAGAGAGGAAGACTGAACCTAAGAATGCAGAAACGGAAAGCCATTTTAAAACAATACAACAAATATAAAAAATCCCCCTAAATAATTATTGTTTAATTTAGAAAGAAAGTAAATTACACATTTTATTATTGCAGAAAATGGAACACAGACTAAACACTTCTAGCTAACAAAAAGAATACATACAGCACCTAGTGACAGAACAAGTCTAATACAAATAGAGTAAGTTTAGTTCTTTCCAGATCATGCCAGATTCAACAAAATATTTTTTCCCTTTTTTTCCTAGATATTATATTATGACTATTTAAGCTATTTTGTGTTCTTGAACTGTGGATACAGGAGTAATTTCACTTTAATTATGCCAAATGAATGCGAATTTGAGTTGTTTAGATACTTTGGTCACTATGTGTTCATGATTATTCAGGGTTGAAGTATCATTTATTCAAGAGTACACAAAAATCAAAATCAGCCTCTAGATATCAGTAGCCATTTTCTGTATTCTTAGGTTCCAAAAGGTGGAGTTTTGGTCACCTATCTTGAACAAACTTCTAAATAAACAAACAGAATAGGAAACTGAAAGAAAATCTTTAACTCAAGTACCTCGATATTAAAGTTATTCTACAAAGAGCTCAAAATATTCGCTTCAAGTTTACATTTAATTTCAACTTTAATTTTTTTACCTCTTTGTGTTGTTTCTATTTAAGTTCCATTTAAGAAAATAATACATTTTTAAAGTTCATTTTACATAAAAGTATGTGAAAGACATACAATATGTAGGTATTCTACTTTTTAATAAAGTGTTTTTTAAAATGTAATAACCACTCTGCAATAGGGAATAGGAATGAGGAAACTCATGAAGTAGTGGAAAGCAATTTATCTTCACAGTCTTGTGTCTTTACAATGCTTGGTTTCTGGTTTGCTATGATTTGATTTTTTTCTTTTAATTTTCTGTCTGTGTACCACATGCAAAAGGCAACTCTTTAATATTTTGCCCTAATCTGAAAAAAGTGAAATATCACTCACCTAACAATTATCTGATCAATATTTTAATCAAATAAAGAGAAATTTCTCTAACTCCACAGAAATATTAAAATTCACTCTGTTAACCCTTTTTTTCTCTACAAAGAATGGTGAACAAACCTACATCATTCAGCCAGTAGTGTTGCTCAATAGTGTTGCTGAAGGTGTGAGAACAATGAACAGTCAGACTAGGATTCATTACTTTGCAGAAATTTTAAGGAAAAAAATAAGTACTTCATGAAGACTGTTTTTCTTCCTCATTTTTTCTAATAATTTTTATTTATTTCAAATAACAATAGAAGACAGAAGGAGAAAGAAAGAAAAGCTTAAAATAGTGTTTTTATTTGTATGTGTACCATTCTTAAAGCATGTTGAAAGATCAGAAAGAGTTCCTGGGCTTTCATGGAGGTATTAAACAGGTTCTTAGACAGGTTCATGGTTTGTTTTCAAAGCTTTGTGCTAGTGAGAACTCAAAAAGGTCAGAAAATCAGCTTATAGTCACATTTAAAGAAATATTTGGAACTGAAAGTCTCCTGTGTGCATTTTCTGGATGGCAGATGGTTGAAATGGTTAAAGTCTTTAATTTTCATTATGTAAGTTTGTAATCTTTTAAGAAACTCCTGTACTCTACTTATACATTTTATATGCTCCTCATTGCCTCACCATTTCTTACTCTTGGTATTTCATAATAAAATTTACCTTCATAAGAATGAAAGAACAGCCATACATCATTAAATCAAAGTTGCACCCAACTCAGTATCCACAGTGTCAATTAGTGTATACGTAAGGGAAAGCACAGGAAAGAAGACATGTGTAACATGATTTTCCCTTGTTAAACCTTTACAATAAGATTATGTTAAGTACAAGGACATCAGTAGCAATATTGTAACACTTGTACTTCCAGTGCATGTCCCCTAGAGGCTAAACAACAGTTTTCTTATTCGCTCCACAAGAGCAGCACCTTTTAAAGGGAAAACAGCATCTCATTAAAATCTGTAGAAAAAAAATATTTAGAAAAAATTTACGTTGAAAATAATCTTTGATTTTTTTTCTTTCAGGATTCACTATAGAAAAAACATTATTCAAATAAGAGGTAGTTTAACAATAAATCATATGAATATGAAGCAGTTACCCCTTAAATTGAGCCAGAGAAAAACTGTTAAATGAGATACAGTTAACTTAGCTCCTTAAATCCTGATTCAGAAGTCATGACATTCTAAATCTGTAGCTGTTTGAGCAGTGGTTAGGTGAATTAAATAAAAGAGTTTACCCATTTCAAATATGTTCAATACCTATTTCTCACTGCTTAATCTGTGTTTTTATTAACTGACACTGGTTATTAAAGTCTTATATAAAACAGACTTAAATTCAAGTGTAGTGTTGTTCTTCATTTAAAATGAGTCTTCAATTTCTTTTCAGCTAAGAATATTTCTAGATACAGCAGTATAAAACTTAGATTTCCTGAGATGACAGAATTATTTAGTTCCATTTTGCAATGAAACTCCCAAATATTAAGGTACTCAGAAGCAAATGTTAAAAACAAGTTATATTTCATATTGATTAAACATTGAATATAAGTAATGTTGAAATATTTTGTTTCATTTTTGTAGCCTTTTTTTTTTTTTTTGAGGTGCATATTTATGTGTTTCAATCCAATTGAAACAGGATATTTTCTTTCCCTATTCTGTTTCTTGCTGCTAATAGAAAACATTGTTTTTAAAATTAGATATCTGATTATCTCTTTTCTAAATACTATAAATCCAAGGTCTGCTGTCCTTTTTCACCCAACATGTAAGGAAAGCATTACTTCAATCAGTGGTAAATGTGTCAGAACGGGGATGTGGAGGGTAAACAGGAACAGCTGTTTGAGCAAAGGTGGCAAGGGATAATAGAGTTAGAAACTAAGGCTGCAGACAAAACGAAGAATAAAGTTAGGAAATAAGATACAGAGAGGGTTTCAGCTCATTTTAAAAACTGGCCAATAGCCTCTGCACAAATACTTGGGGATCATAAGTTTCTGTTCAGTTAAGGTCTTCTATTCTGCAGCAGCCAGTGACTGACTATTTTGGAAATTATTTCCTGCTTGGGAAAAGACTCTTCTGCAGTTAGGCAATAGGTCAATGCAATGGGCTTGTTTAGCTTAAGAAAACTAGTATGCAAGTTTTAGAAGATCTTTGATGGAAATTTGATAAATTCCAGGAGAAATGAGAACAGGGAAAGTCAGTGTGAGTTGAAAAAAAGGCAATTCATACTGATGTGCAAGTCAATATCTTTCCTTGTAATATAATCAGATATTCTAGACAAAGTGAAAACACTGAAACCAATGGTTAGGTTTTTCTTAAATCTGGCTAAAGAATTAAATATCTAATTAAGATTCTCAGTCAATGTTATTTTAATTGACTAATACATCATTCTGTTAACACTAATGGTAAATTAAATATGCTTGATCAATATTCAAACAATGAATTCTGGTTAATTGACATTGATCTTAATGGCCATTACTTTAAAATATTAGCTGATGTACATCCACAGCTGTAGAGATTACATATTACAATATTAATTTTCAGGATATCATTTGCAAGAAACATTAGTAATAGTTAGTGACTTTTCCTTATATATGAAGAGGAATTGCAACCAATCATCCCAGAAAATAAAATTAAATTATCGCCTTACAAATAATATATTATTTTTCTCATTACATTGTTTTCCCTTTTCTGCTAAAGTAACTACTCTGAAAAATTAAAGACTTCTAAATCATAATTTACAAGCTATGTTGAATTATGCGTACATATAAAATGAATTAAATGGATTAATTAAGAAAAACAATTGTAATAAAATGCAAGTAAGTAGAGAAAAAGAAAGCTGTAGACTAAGGAATTGAGATCAGGTACCCAATTGTTGGATACACAAAACTCTTAATACCCTGTGGAATGAGTGGAATATAAAGTCATTCAGACTGGAATTTCCAGAAGGGGATAGCAGTAATTAATATCTCATTTTCCAGATGCTTGAGAAGAGTGAGCTTCAAGGAAAACAATACTCAAAGGATGATCCCTAGCACTTTTTGAAATCCCTGTCAATAGTTATTTTCTTGTTAGTAAAGACAAAAATACTATTAATTTCTAGTTTAAATTTTGGTCTTGTTTCATTTTAGATAACTAATAGAATCATGACTCGAGAAGTCATTTGACATTTATTTGTACCCTATTATTTAGATTAATGTAGCAGGTAAATTCTAAGAGTTCACCACTATTTTAATTAGGGTTTTAATCAAGTTTAACCACTTATATTCATGTGTGGATTCTTCTGTTGCATATATATACTATATGTATATAGATATGCTAGAACTCATTAAATTGGTGAACAAATCATGTCTAGTGTTTCAGGGGACATCTCAAAAAGCCTCACAAAATAGGAGATAGTCCTAACAAAAAGGTCAATGGTATTGAAAATTAAAATTAGGAGCACTGTTCAATTTGCAAAGCATATCTTTCTACCAATCAGTAACCAGTGAACAGAAAACAACAACTATACAAGAATTGCACCTAGAATTGTTAGGCAAGTATTTGACTAAATTAATCCCAGTTTGTCCAGAGGATAAATTCTTATTTGGGAATAAATGCACAAAATTTCCTGAAGCAAATAGAAATCTTGCTAGCATAACTGAAAGGAGACATTAGCAGAGCTTCATTTGACACATTGAGAACTTAGTAGGCATTAGAATTGGCTGGGTTTAGTTCTCTCCTGAAACACCAAGACTTCGCTTCATAGTCTACTGAGGTTAAATGGAAGTCCTCAGAGAAATCCCACATAACAACTCAGTAGCTGCAGGTCCCTCTTAAGGCAAAGAACATATTATCTTGACTTCTACTCTTTTCCTGTCTATCACCTATTATCACAGTAACTTCAGACCAACAGTAAGCTACTAGGCAGTGAAACAGGAGACCAAGGTTTGATTTGCCATTTTTCCACAAATTTTAAATGTCACCCTTGGCAAGTCAGTTTGACTTATCTTCATTCAAATTCACAAAGCATCAAAATTTTAGTTGATTGCAGTGAGAAACAGGCTTCTAAATATCTCTCTAGATCTGAGGTTATTGCATCCAGATCTGGGGTCTCCACAACAGGAAGGACATGGACCTGCTGGAGTGAGTACAGAGGAGGGCCTCTATGATCACAGGTCTGGAACACCTCTCCTATGAAGACAGGGGGAGACAGCTGGAGTTCTTCATCCTGGTGAAGTCTTTGGGGACATCTCATTGCAGCCTTATAGTACCTAAAGGGAGTCAACAAGAAAGATGGAGAGGGACTTTTTACAAGGGTGTGTAGTGACAGGACAAAGGGGAATGGCTTCAAACTGAGAGTAAGTTTAGATTAAATATTAGGAAGAAATTTTTTACTGTGAGGGTGGTGAGGCACTGGAACACTTTACCCAGAGAAGCTGTGGATGTCTCACCCCTGGAAGTGTTCAAGGCCAGGCTGGGTGGGGCTCTGAGCAATCTGGTCTAGTGGAAGTTGTGTTTGATCATGGTAGGGTCCCTTTGATCATTAAGGTCCCTTCTAACCCAGGTCGTTCTATGATTCTATGATCTGACTTCAGTATTGCTGTAATGCCTGTATTCCATGCAGCTCAAGTCTGCACTCACATCAGAGGCTTTATAATATTCACATTGCATTTGTTTAGGTTCTCAACTGCAGACTTAGCTGGTCTTACAATCAAATCAAAATTTGAGCTCTAAAAAAGTTTAGAGAGCTGTGACACTTGATCTGTGACAATTAAACTATGCAGTTATTAGGAATAGGCGTGAACTATGTGCGCCAAAAGTGGGCTCATCTCTGTTCCTTCAAATACTCTGTCAGCCAGACACAGATGTTGCATACCTTCTTTTCTCTATATTCACAGGATTTTATGCCTTGCTTTGGTATTAAACCCTGTTAATTTGGGTTTGGTTTTTTTGGGAGTTTCTTGATGAAGTAGGGTTGATGACCTATTGACCCTAATTCATGGAAATATATTTCTAGACAGCCCACTAATGAGTTTGAGTTCTACCTGTGTGAAAACTCTTTATATTGTCAGAGATGTCCCTGGCACATGAGATTCAGAAATCCTGGGAACATTATGTTGTTTTATTAGTATAATCTTACACTGATGGCCTAAGGAGACTGGAGAGGAGAGCCATGTTGCACAGATTCATTGAAGCCACCTTTTAGCACAGGGTATCAAAAGCATCTCTTGATATATTTAGAAGAGTATAAACATATATCAATTGTGTTAGTTTGAATGAACACACAAGTAGGTGCAGATTTGTACCTTTGTTAGAAGAGCAGCTGAGCTTTTCGTGGGTACAAATGTTAAAAAAATCTCAGATGGTTACAACCATCCTGAGATGTCTGCCTCAGAAACCCAAACCTCAGCTTAAGCAAAGCTTCTAAATGATGTTCAAACTCTTAGGGAGAGCTGGGAACACAAGAAAGTAGACACGCATAAGAACACATAGCACATGTGTGCATAAATGTTCACCCTACCTTGTTGGCCATGTGAAACGAAAAGATTGCTGTTGGGAGCTACAAGTACCTAAGACAGATGGTACCCCAGGACAGATAAAGCAACAATTAAAAGAAATTTAACAGAGCATCAGCTCTGGATACACTCTGCAAAGTAGTGAATCCAGTTGCAGAGCTGTAGCTAATTAAAAGGGATTCAAAACCAGCTATATCTTGTTTTGTACCCAGCAATATGCTAAATAGGGACACTTGCAGACCACCTGAAGCAGAAAATGACAACAGTAAAGGCTCTCAGGTCAGCTCTTTGCAGGGAAATTACACTAACAAATGAAAAATAAACTAGCACACAACATATGAATGTAATAAAAAAAGATAAAGGTAGCAAAAGCCATTCTAAGACAACTCTTTTCTGTGATTTTACTTTTTGGATTTAAAACATTATTAACTCTTGCAAACTTACAGTTAAACTATCGTGAAGGACATTTTATTGTTTAAACCGTTCATGGCTGATTTGATCTGACCTACACACCAGTGAGCCTTGGTGCTATGATTAAAAGAGCTGAAAACACTAAAGAATCCTAAAAGAGTTGAAAACAATAAAGAATCCAGAATTCTGATTTCAGAGTCTCAAAATTACGATTATTTAGATGGCATTTATACAATGGAATAATCCCAGCATTGGTCTTTGAGGCATGTGCCTTAAAGTATTGTGAGGGAAGATTACATGGAAGAAAGTGACAACCTAAAGTGCTTACTTGGCAAATCTCAGTGAACTTTTCCATTGAAGTGTTCATTTGATACCATAAATGTTATGTTCTTTGGTATAAAATATGTCGTGAAATGCACATACCTTTCAACACTGGCAAATTCAGTACTATATTGCTACTAAGACCTGGACTCTACATCAAGATGTGCTCTAGCAGGGAGTCTACATATAATAATAAGTCATAAATATTCAAACACTGGTGTTACACGATAGCTCCTCACCCCTATTATTTTATGCAAAATTGCTGAAATGAAAAAGGGAGAACTTTCTTACCAGTTAAATTTCTGTCAATAAATGTCTGAAAATATGGAGGATAGGTATTACATCTACATGGTATCTTTTACTCAGGAATGTTGAATTATAAGCCCATTCAAGTTGTTATATGACAACTTTAGAGGCTGATCAGATCTCCATTTTGCTAAGTAGCTATTACAGTAAGAATGATAATTTCTGTTTACCTACCTGCGGTTTCTAAAATCATTATCCTACACAGTCAGGATATTTATTTCAGTAAGATGATAAAAATTGTTCTTACTCTGTTCAAGATGCTGTTCTGAGATGTAAATACTGCTTGGATTTGTTTTTTTTTTTTCCTTATTACTGCCTTCATTGTAGGAAAAGCTAGTAAAGTAGTAATAGTAAGCATAGAAAACAGTTTTCTTTGGCTTGCCTATGAAGCGAGGCCAAATCATAGCTGAACTCTGGAGACGAAAAAAAAAAGGAAGAAGAAAAAAGGTTATCTCAACTTTCTCTGCCTTTCATTGTGATGTTGCATTAGTGATGTGGCAGCAGGGAAAGAGAAACAAGAGAGAAAGAGAGTGGCCTCTGCAGTGTGAAAAATGGGACAACAGTAGAAAGAATAGGAATGTAGGAAGTTTTGTGATATACAAAGACATCTTGTTAAAGAAGTCTTAAGGTTTCAGAAGTTAGTGCTCCAGTTTCAGGAAAAGTGAAAAACAAAATGAAAAAAATCAACACTCTTAAACCTATTTAATTTTGCATATTTTTTCCATGACAGAGACTTTTCTTAAACAATGCTGCACTATTTTTCAGAAACTATTATTGCTCTTTTGTCAAATATAAATATAACAAACGTCATATCCTCTACTTTTATATAGAGAGAGATATATATGTATATTCTGGCACTAGGGTCTTTATATAGATTTTATTACCTGACATATTTTTATCTAAGACTCAGACCATTTGGTCTAGTTATTGTTTTCTGGATTTCATAAAGCTGTATCTACTGCAAGGTATATATAACAACTGATTTAATAATGCATTTTTGTTTCTGGGAGTACTTTTCTTAATACCATATTAATTCAAATGAAAAGACCTTTGCCATACCCCAACCTCAGCAAAATTTGGCTTTTTTATCAAAATGGTATCATAGCTGCTTTTCAGTTGTACGGTTTGAAGAAATAAAAAAGTCTGCTACTGATCTATTTATGACTTGGGATTGGCCTTAACTTCAACATCTAAAGTTTAGTCAGCTTATCCTGGATAGGTATCTAGCTATATCTGTAGGCATCAGGAAAAAATAATGATGGTATCACCAGTGGATATCATGATCTGTCTCTTAGACAGATTTTCTTCAGCTGGGTATAAAACAAACTGCAGTTATGGCTTGGTCTATCCTATTTGTAGTCAGCAGCAACATTCAGTCACAGTAGAAACATCCAAGGGGAATGATTTTTCTTAACCTTTTTTTAGTCAAATACGTACGCAAATATTTTATTATTTATAAAGAAAAGTTTAAGAAAAAGAAATCTTACTGAACTGGACACAGAATTTTCCTTGTATCTCTGATTTTTTTTCTTACAGGTAACTTACTGTGTCCTCCATGTGGTGAACCCACCTCCAATAAGGTAGTATCTGCACCTTGTTCTGCAAATGTGAAGTGTTTGTTATATTCAAAATAAAGCTTAAAGAAAAATGCAAACAGGATCAGTCTCTTAAAACCGTATCAAAGATAAAGAAGCACAAACAAGAAATAGAATTTAAAACCCCTTAAACTCAAAAGAAATATCTAATTAACCCACTACCCTCTTTTATTTGGAATGGAATTGAGTGAAGAAAAATATTCAGAAGGAACAAAAAGTTACGGATGACATTATGATCAATAATAATTTTTCCTGCTGTCAACAGAGCTGTACATACGTTAAAAAAAAAAAAAAAAAAAGAAAGAAAAAAGAAAAAATGTAATAGAGATAAAGAACTATTGTCTGTATGTATTGAAAACTTAATAATTCCAGCAGAAAGATCCATTTCTAAACAATTTGACTTGTCCTAGGAACTCAGAATTCACTTACTAACAAGCATGAATTTGCTTTGTTTGGTTTACTGTCTTCTTAGGAGTTGATAACAACTTTATTTAATCAAATCGAGCACCTCACAAAATCCAGCCCTTCAAACACTTGAACTTCAAGTTCAGTTCCAAATACTGTTGTCAGACTTTATCAAAGATTAATTCATATTACTCATTATATTCATTATGAGATTAACCCTTAGGATTAGTTGCAGTGCACAAACATTGAGGTGCCCATAATACCTCTCAGAAAAAAATGTAAGGAAAGACATAGTTTGAAGATGAAACTATAAAAAATAAGCAGAAAAAAAAGAAAGTATCTGGTTTTCCACTTTAATATTTTATTACAGGTAAATTTTTGGGTTTGGGGTTTTTGTAATTTATTTTTATTTTATTTTATTTCTTTTTATTTTTTTAGTAAGGAAGCTAAAATTTTCCAGTGGAATTGGAAAATAGGAACCCTGACCCCAAAATACTTAGCACTGCTCCCAAAGGCACGAAGTAATTCTTGCTGATTTCAGGGAGAAACCCAAAAATCCAAATGAGAGCATAATCCAGGCTCATGATTTCACCATAATGATAATTACTACTAGTAACTTTCACAAAAAAAAGTATGATGATAATTAGCAGGCAACAAAACATTCTTCATTACTCAAAAGCACCTTAGCCTTCACACAGAACACACAGTGTGGAGTCA